CATGTGGTGCTGGGGATTGAACCGTGGTCCCTGTGCTTTGCTAAGCTTGTTCTAAGTAGGTGCTTTAGACCACTGAGCCATCTCACCAGCCCCAAGTAATTAGAATTTTAACATTGTAAAATTAATTAAATATGGAGGAAAGGTTGATTTCTTGGGTGATTCTGGTTTAGTTGCCCAAGTAACTGTTAGTTCCCCCTTACTTAGATGGGAAGCAGGTAGAAGCCCAGATTGTATTGCAGAGATGAAGGTAGTCGTCCCTTAGAAATAGTTAATAGACTGATGGTTACCTTGGGCTGCATCACAGCTTTGCTCTTTGCTAACTGTTAGACTGGTAAGCTCATACCAAGTGAGTATATACTATGCGTTATGAGCCTGGGCAAATGGCTGTATGTCTTTTTGCCTTAGTGTTAGTACCTTATACATAAGGTAAAGAATACAGCTATTTTAACCCACTTTAAGTACTGTGCCTGTGCCAGTAGGTGGTAGTCTCAGTGTGGGTTAATATGAGGCTGGATGATAGGGGTCAGTAATGTTCAGAAATTGATGGAGGTTGGATTTGAGGTGATCTTACAGAACAAAGAGTGGTCTCCATTTGGAGTGGAGGTGGGAGGTGGGGAAGCAGGGCCTAATGTGCGTTGTTGGAACCAGTGTTCTTGACACCCATGATTATGCAGGTTTTCATGCAGAGATAAAATAGCAAAGGATTTGAAAGATCTGAGGGTAAGACAGGCCCTTGGTCGTCCCTGTGAAAAGCTGATACCCTACTTGCCTTTACACCAGGAGAGCTACAGTAACAGCACTAAAGGTCTTAAACTTCTAAAAATTCCTATGTTCCACCTCTACGTAACTCAAAATAAAAGCAATCCTAACCTGTAAAATAATGTAACAAAGTCCAATAAAGTTTTTTACTTTTTTCTCATAGCTTTGATATTATTTGAAGTAAGACTTTTTTAAATTGGGGTGAGTGTCTCTCCTTTGGCTGGTTATGTTTTTTTTTTTTTTAAATTTTTTTTTTTTATTTATGTGTGTGTGTGTGTGTGTGTGTGTGTGGCCAGCTCAGCCCACCAGGGGGCGGGGCTGACTGGCATGTGGTGCTGGGGGATTGAACCGCGGTCCCTGTGCTTTGCTAAGCCTGTTTCAAGTAGGTGCTTTAGACCACTGAGCCATCTCACCAGCCCAAAAAGACAAAGATTTTTTTTATTTTTTATTTTTTTTTGGCAGAACTGGGGATTGAACTCAGGCTCTTGTGCTTGCCAGGGAAGCACTTTATTCCACTGAGCCATCTCCCCGGCTCCATATGTCTTAAGAATTTTCATTCTGCCTTTTTTTTTTTTTGGCAGAACTGGGGATTGAACTGAGACCCTTGCACTTGCCAGGCAAGCGCTTATTCTACTGAGCCATCTCCCCAGCCCTTCATTCTGCCTCTTAATGGAAATGTAGTTGTCCACTTCTGACTTAACTAAATTGCATTATATTAGTGTTGCATGATGACACAGATGTGAATAATGCCAACATTTTGAGTAAGCCCAGGATTGTACTTCACAGCAGGGGAATACTTGGAATCATTAGACCTCAAGCTGTCATTTCACCCCAAATGAGTCATTTGGTGTCTCTTCACTAGGAACAGGCCTCTCTGTCCCTAGGGCTGCTGACAGAGGGCCCAGTCCTGGGTCAGTGGGATGTTCTAGCTAGGAATGCATCAGACCACAGTGGTAGCTGCACCTTGCCCTAGTGGCAGCGGTGAGAAAGCTGGTAGGCCCATGTTGGATTAGTTCACTTCCTAGGTTGGTCATGTAATGTACTTGACTGGGAAACAGAACTTGATAACCAAAGATAACTACTGAAGAATGACCACCCACTTGGCTATCAGTATTGCTGTTGATGTTCTGGATTAAACCATGACTTGGATCTAATTCCAAGCAGCATGCCCTTTTTGTATATGTCTTTGCTTGACTTTAGTTTTCTTTGTATACATCAAGCTGCAGTATTTAGGTAATAATACTAAATTGATTTATGTAGATTGATGGCAGATACCTTATTAATAGGAGCTGCTGTTCCTCTCCTGTTGTGATCTGTCCATCCTGTTCCTAGGCACCCAGATCCATCAGCTAGTGGCGTCCTGATCACTGCTGGTGCTTGTGTCCTCAGGTGAAGAGTAATGATTAGACACTACCTAACCGAGCGTGTTAAGCAGTGCTTGGATGTATCTGCGTTCCTGTAAGGTGGTAGATACCCTTCATCTCCCTTTATAGGTCAGACTGAGTGATGCTTACAGAGGTTAATAACTTGTCCAAGATGACTGAGGAAGAGGCAAAGCCTAAGTAAACAGGATTTAACTGGAGTTCTTTTCTCACACAGACCTTACTGTCTTTGGGTCTACATAGAAACATAATGGGAATCACCTGGCTCATAGATAGCTCCACACAACATTTAAATGAAAGTTACTGCTATCACCTGGAGGCAGCCACTAGTATCTTACTAGGTCATTCTATCTGTAGGGGTTGGCATCTAGTCCGATAAGAGCATGGACATTGGTTAAAAAGCTGGATTTGGTGGCACATGCCTATAATCCATGCACTCAGGAGGCTGAGGTAGGAGGATCCCAGGTTTGAGCTCAGTTTGGGCAACTTAGTGATCCAGTGAGACTCTCGAACAAGAAAAATAAAGGCCTGGGGAGGGTAGCTCAGTACAAAGGTTCAGAGTACCATCCCCAGTCCTGGGGGTAAAAGTCCTTCAGTGGTACCCTAGAGGATGTCATTCACCAGCTTTATTTGGTACTGAAGATAGATTGAAGGCACTGAGCTGCACCCCTGCCCTGCTCACCAGCTTCAAGTGCATAGTTGTTTCGCTGCACACCCATAACCTGATGAATGGGCACTGACAGAACAGGGCCTCTGTTGCTGCTCCTGACATTGCTGTTTGGTAGGGACTGGAGTTGTTAGCTGATTTTCCAAAGTGAGAGAGACTGCTTAAGCTCCACAGCCTCCTCAGGAAAGGCTGGTGTCCAGAGCCACTTGTGCGGCTGTATGAGGACTTCCTGGTTGTGCCATCAGAAGCCCGCATCCTTTAAAAAAAAAAAAAAAAAAGGAAGCCCGCATTCTGTGTGGAAGTGTCAGCTGCCTCCCCACACCTGGCCTGCCCTGGGGACCCAGCTGCTATCTCCATAAAAACACACAAGGTGACCGGTAAAGACAGCTTAGCATGCATGGTACCAGAGTTGCTCAGGCCACACCATCAGAACTGCTGCGTTATTTTTCCAGAGAAGAATCTTTTCTCCATGAAGAAACTTGCTCCCTCTGTAAAACATTCCTATGTTCTTTCTGTGTTCTCGGGGGCTGCCTGCCTGGGGGCGTGTATGCTTGGCAGCAGGCAGCAGGTACTCCTGGTCCACCTTGAACACCAGTTCTGCTGCTGTCACCTTGCTGTGCTTCAATAATGCTGCTTCCTGAAGGCTACCTGAAGATGAAATGAGATTGTGTTGTGTGTGTACTTAACACACGTGCTCACTTTCCTGAGCAATTGGGGATGGGAGGCTGCGAGCTGAAACACTGGCACATGGCTTCTACTAAACGCAGCTGGCTTCATTCTCTATGCTGCCTGGAATAATCTCAGTGCATGTGGTACGTGGGGGCAGCCAGCCCAGCAGCTGCTACGGTGCCCTCCTCGCTTCCCCTAGAGGGAGGCTCTGCCTGTCAGCAGACCTCAGACTATGCACCCAAACTGTCATCATCACAAAAAGTTCCACACATACTCAACCTTAAAGGAAGTTTTATTAAGACTGAGTCATGCATACTGAAGTTACATATTTTCACCACTTTGACTTAGAAAAATGCACTAGAAAAATAAACATTTGGTCAAAACAAATACTGAAGTAGATGAACCCGCCACCATGTCCCTATACTCAAAAGTCAAACTGAATTTCAGTTTGAAGCAAGGAATGTGACCAGTGGCCGAAATGGTGCCCCAGACTACGCAGGGAAGTAGCCCAGCTCCCACTCCATCAGGGTGGTGCTGGAGGCTTGTGGCCACAGAGAAGTTTCAAGTATTTCACTCATCCATGCTCCCACCTGGTGGCCAGGCAGTGGAGGCACGTCCATAGGAGCCCGCACAAGCAGCTGGCGCACTGCCTGACTAAACGTGTTGCCTGGTGAGGTTTTGAAAACCAGTGTGTTGCTGTCATCTCTGTCAGTCACACTGGACATTCTCATAAAGCAAGCTCCTGTTCTGTCATTTCCAACACACCATTTATTCTGAGTCAGGACAGCAGAAAGGAGCTCAGATTTACAAAGCTGACAGTTCCCAGCACTGAGAGCTGTTACCAGGACTGGTGTCAGTGCCCAAGCAGTCCCCTGTCTGGAGTCTCCCTGCCTCTTATGGCCCTGGGACAGCCACACTTACATTAGCCTAGCTAATGTCTTACTCTCCAAACAAAGATTTCAAAGGAAAACCTGAAAAGCGGACAACTTTTAAATGAGGTAATAATGCCACAACAAGATAGCTTTTGCTGCTCAAATGGAAAAGTAATTCCATGACTGATCTGAGGGTGAGATGACATTTACAGGAACTGCCCACTCAAGGCTAATGGCTCACAAGAATTCAAGGGAAGTGCTTCCTGTCAACCCTGCTCTTTTTGGAAGAGCTGTTATCTGGTAATCTCCAGTGCTTACACGCCTGAGTTCCTTCCTCCAGAAAGCAGGATGAAGTAGGAGCAATGCCAGGCCACCTCGGCCAAAACCAGGAAAGTCAAGGTGCAAAGCCAGGGTTGCACTTCTGGCTGTTGGGTAGACTTCATTTGCCTTTCCTCATGAAGACAGAAAAGAAAGTCTCTAGGAAGAGGCACATTTTTCCAGAATTCTGGGTAGGGGGATAGGGAATAGAGGAGGAAGAAAATCCCTATGTACCTAAGCTCACAGAGTGATTTAGAGCCTTTAGTTCCCAACATATTTAGACCTAATTTTCCTAAATTCACCTGTAGAAAAAAGAAACCTCTTGTGTATAATGTTCCTATGGCAGTAAAATCAATTAGATGCCAGGAACAGAAGGGTCAGAGTTCATAGTGTAGGTCCCCTTTTTCCTATAGATTGAGGGATATGAAGAGGCTCAGTCAGGGCCACCTAGGACAGAGCTGGCACTCAATTCGAGTATTGCTTTCTCTTTCTTCCCAGTGTACTACAGTGGATGTGGGGAAGTTAATTTCCGTGTGTTTGTGAAACACAACTTTCCCCTGATGGAAAACTCCCCAGTTTTCAATGTTCACTTGTTGGCTCCTCCAGGGCTCTCCCTACTACTAAGCATCACTCATGGCAGCCCCGCAGGTCAACATAAGCACCCTGCCTTGGTTTGCACTGGGGAGATCCTGGTTCACAGCTTGGTCCAAACCTCCTGAGGTGCGAGACTTTGATCACTCTCTGTAGCCAAACACAGAGCATAGCTGCTCCTGGAGCAGACCAACCCTGGCTGACTTGGCTCAGAAACTAAAATAAATTCTGGGTCTAGCCAGAAAGGCCCAGGAGATGGGCAACATCCTTTTTGGGTTCTTTCTTTGTACTAAAGATTGAACCCAGGGAAACTCTTAGCACTGAGCTACATCTTCAGTCCTTTGTGTATTTTTTGAGACGGCCTTGTTAAGCTGCCCAGACTGGTCTCCTTAGCTTTTGATGCTCCTCAGCCACCTGAATAGCTGGAATTAAAGGTGTATGCCAGCGTGCCCAGCTCCTGGCTGGTCTCACACACTTCATGAGTCTGGCTATGTTAGTCACACAGACAAAGGCAACTGGCCAGGAACGTGGTAGGGCTTAATGCTTGATCCCTCCTTGTCTAGTTCTGTTGTATTTTCTTTCTCCCCCAAAACCTCCCACTGGTTCTTCCATCCAGGCTGCTGGGTTCTGCAGGTCTGCTTCAGCCATCCTCCCCCTCAGGTCCTGTTAGCAGCACTGGTCCATTGCCGTCAGGTGGAACTAAGGGCAGTGAGGGGTATGCATTTTGGCACTTCTGGCTCAGCCAGGACCCTACAGAATCCAGGGTTAGTATCTAAGATAAAAAGAACTGTCCCTAAAATTAGCATTAATGCGGTACATAAATTAATTTCTACCAAAAATTTACCAAGATATCTCTTAAATTGCTGTAAAGATGAACAGCTAGGTAGCACAGATTGAGCTTTGAACTTCGGAGTGCTGTTCTCTAACTGCACAGCCTAAATGTGCAGAGAAGGAAGGGAGAAGCACAGCAAGCAGTACTCCATAATCACAAGAATGAATATGAAAGGAAGTAGGTGGGAAGCCACCAGATGAGCCATCCAGTACGTATGCTGCCTGGGTTAAGGCTGACGTCTTGGCTGGGAGGATCTAAAGTGCTGAAGTAGAGAACTAACATTCAGGCTGAAGAAACTCCAGCAGTGTGGGAACATGGGGGCTCAGAGGTGACCCAGCAGTAACCTGCCCCTACGTGTATTTCCAAAGATGAATGAAAGCAGCTCAAGTACTCTAACCACCACAGCCAGGTGTATGTCTGCCACTAGTGACTCGGGATGGCAGGAATTCATCCAAGATCCAAGTTCACCTGGAGGCCTGACCAGTGCAGTGTTTTTATTAAAGACAGGTTCTCACTGTGCTGTTCCAGACTGGCTTCAACTTTGTTATTCTGCCTCAGCTTCCTTAGTGGCTGAGATTACAGGCAAAAGCTGTCCTCTTATTAAAGTTTAACCATCACCAGAACAGGGAAAAAGTTAGTGTCATTGAGTTCCAGAATATACGTTTTTTTTGTGTGTGTGGTGGTTCTGGGGATTGAACCCAGGGCCTTTGCACTGAGCTGTATTCCCCCAATTTTTATTCTGGGGTGTTTTGGACAGGACTTCATGATGTAGTTCAGGCTGGCCTTGAACTATGTAGCCCAGGCTGGTTTCAAACACAGTGATCCTCCTGCCTCAGCCTCCTGAAAGCTAAGGTGTATGTTAACATGCCTACCTGCTTGTGCTGCACTTTAAAGGCTGGGCCAAATGATACTTGTTCATAGAAAGCCCTGTGTATACCACAAAAAACCAGTATCCAACTATTTGCATGGAAGTGGTCATCTATCTAGTCAGAAAATTGAATTTTTGCCAGCCTCATTTTACAGACAAGAAAGCTGAAGCCCACAGGGGCCCATGTCTGGTCCACGCACATCTGGAGCTCAGGTCTCTGACTCCTAGGCCAGAACTCCTTTAGCTATACAGGCCTAGCATCCACGACTTTACTTACGTTGAGCAAAATCAGATAATTCTAGAACCCTGTGTGACTCCATGGAAAACCAGGGCTAAGGCTTTATAGGTCTGGGGGAAGAAGTCTCTTGCAAAGATTTGACCAGTGAGTCCAGGGATACTCAAGCCTCTGGCTCCCAGATTTGGTCAGGGAGTACCGCTTGGGTCCTGGTACTTCCAGGATCAGCTAAGGCGCTTCCCAAACCCAGTAATGGCAAATGGGGCCAGACCTCGGCCTTGAAGATTCCTGATGAGCAACAGGTATACAGTTAAGGTTCAGATGAAAGACAAAGGTCCCCCAAGCCTCATATTTGGCCACCTCATGGGCCTGGCCGAAGTGTTTCAGAGGAGTAGGTGACTGGCCAGTCAGGTTTTCTCCAGAAAGGTAAAGCAACTTTGGTGCTGACTTTTCTTGCTTCTGAGTAAGAAAGATGAGTAAGAACTAGAGTGTGCAAATGTTTGCGAATCACACTGGGGATATTTTCCACATATCCCAGCAATAATACAAGTGGCCAAAGGCTTGCTGTTCCCGTGATGGCCTGGCCTTCACAGCTCTCCAGGCTGTTCCTTCATGCTACCATTTCATTATAAGAAGCAAGACAGGCCTTGGCACTTAAGTTCTTACGAGTTTCTAAGAAGCAAAGGAGAGGGTTTAAGCGAGGCGACACACCCAGGGGCTGGCTAATAGCAGGAATACAGCTGGGACTTCACAGCTCGCATAGAGTCATCACACTGTGCATCGGAGGTGAGCCCCTCGGGCAGCTGTGCGTGGCCCAGGATGCTGTTGCAGGCGGGTACGGGTTGGCAGAACTCTCTCACAAAGTCTTCCTCGGAGGCCAGGAGCACTGCGTGCCAGGTGGCGGTGTCCAGCTCTCCAGCTGTGCCCCCGTACTCTTTGGGGAGAATGTTTCTGGGAAGGCTTGTGTGGAGAGAGTTTAGGTCAGATCCATGGAGAAAGAACTGAAAGGAAGTAGACACACATCCTTAGTTTGGTGAGCAGTGTAGCAGTCTCCCTTGAGGGAAATGTTCAAATAAATGTGTGCTGAGTGAGGAAGGGTTGATAGGAACCTTGCACCTTCCAGATCCTCAAGTCCCCAAAGCTTGGCACATTCCTGATTCTCTTTTCCTCCTAGGGCACACCCTGTCGGCTGGACCTGCCGATTATATTGTGTCGAATCACTTCACTGCCAGCTAGTTGTGCCATGCGGTCATCACTTCCCTGAAGTCTCACATCAGCCCCCTATCTAGCCTGCTTGCCCCCACTCTTGTCTCACTATATAGCCTGGACTAGGTCATCACTCCCCTATTTATGACCTAGCAGAAATGTCACCAAAGCCAGAGTCTGGACATGGACCACAAGGCCCGCTGAAGACTGGTCCCATTACTTGTCCACCTCCTCTGGCTATTCCCCTTCTAGTTCCAGCATCTGCCATGCCAGCCTCCTGTCAGCACCCCAGCAGGCCATGCCTGCCCCCATTTAGTTGTGCGGGACTGGTCTACCAGCTGCCCATATGGCTTGCTCCCTCTCAACACTTTGCTCAGATGTCAACTTAGTGCCACCACCTCTAACCGCCCTACTGTAATACTGTAAGCTTTTTTTCATCTCTTATACTCATTATCCTTTTATTTGCTTTATTTCTTTCTCTGTAGCACTAGCCACATTCTAGTACCAGGTAATATAATACTGCAGTGTCTATGTGTCTCTTTAGAATGTAAGCTTCTCAAGGGCAGGGATGTGGGTCTGCTTTGTCCATCTCGTACATAGTAGTTGGTCAATAAATGCCTTAGGATGAATGAGTGAACACACAAGGGAACAAATAAACCTGTCCAAAGGTTGCTTGGTAAAAGTTCCAGTCTTTAGCAACCTGCATACTCACACACACCCGTAGAGGGAGCCCACTAAATTAGCAGTACTCAAGGCCAACCTGGCACTTAGCAAGACCTTGTCTCAAAGAATAAAAAGCCGGGGCTGGTGAGATGGCTCAGTGGTCTAAAGCACCTACTTAGAATAAGCTTAGCTAAAGCACAGGGACCGCGGTTCAATCCCCCAGCACCACATGCCAGCCAGCCCCACCCCCTGGTGGGCTGAGCTGCCCCCCCCAATAAAAAAAATTAAAAAAAAAAAAGAATAAAAAGCCTGGGTAGGAATAGCCAGGCATGGAAGCACATGCCTGTAACTCTAGCGTGCTGGGAGCTAAAGTAGGAGGATTCCCAAGTCTGGATAAATTACCTGAAAATGTAGCAAGACCAAAATAAAATTAAAACCAAAAATGTCTTAAAAGAAATTTTAAAAAGGATTGGGGACGTAGCTCAGTGCAAAGGCCTGAGGTTCAGTTCTCAATACTATAAAGAAAAAAGGGAGAAGGGAACACTAGAGATGTAGTTCACTGTTAGAGGGCTCTGGGGTCAGTCCTTGGTACAAAAAGAGAAAACAAACCCAGAAAGCCTAAGGAAATGGGAAAACCATAGGTCCTTGCTGAGGTGCTGAAGTCTTCTGCGATGGGGTCTGGAAATGGAGATCTGGATTTTAAGTTATTCCCTTTGCAATGTTGTGATTCTCTATCTGTATAAACTTGATGCAGTCTGTGGAGAAACTAGCATGTTCTGAGGCCCAGGGAAGGAGGAAAGAAGCAGCATTACAGTCAGTCCTGGGAAGGAGGAAAGGGCTCCTGGGTCAGACAAGCAGATTGGTCTTTCACACTGTCATTTCCCCTCTGGAATGTGAGTTAAGCTGACAACTCACACAGCTCATAAACCTTAATTGCTGCTCAAATTTACACAATAAGATACAGATTAAGTAGACAGAAAAACTGAAACACCTTTTTTGTCCATGTTTGTTTTTAAGACAGGGCCTTGCTGTGTTGCCAAGGGTGGTGTTAAACTGCTGTGTTCAAACAGTTCCCACTTGGCCTTAAAACCTGTACTTGGAGAGCAGCATTGTTAAATCCCAGGGTGTTCTGTGGACCCTTGAGGTACGACCCACTTGACATATGAACAGCTTGGGTTATGACCAGAATTTTATGGTATG